TATTATCATAAGATAAGAAAATTTTAAACAAATATTACATTATAATACAATGATATATAATTTAAAACACAATGATATCTGTGTTAACATATAGAAAGAGAGACGGCACTATCACTCGTATATTGATAAAACCTATAAAATCCTAAAGAGGACCAGGCTACTTATACATGAAGAAGAGAGGTAGTGAACGGCCGAGACTTCCTAACAAACTCCTAACAGTCTCAACTGAAGACTAACCTATCTAACAACCTATACCAGCGCAGAACAACACCCTAACTGCACTTGGTAACTGACACCCTAACTGCACTTGGTAACTGTGTAAGTGTGTATACTCATAACAATGACCATACTTCCCACACAACTATCATTGTGGCTTGTTATTAGATCGACCTCTGACTCTTCCACGACCATAGGAAACACCTCCACGAGAGCTTCTAGATGAATCATTCAACGAGAACGAACCATCACCCTTGTTAGCACTTACACGTGCTAGGTAGGTAATCTGTTGTGAACAGTTTTTCAGTTGCAGTCAGTTAGGAGTTTAACAATTGTGTATAAATTGTAATTTGGTGGCAATGAATAACTACCCTTTTCTGCATATGAAATGTACAAAGAAAATAAAAGAAAGTCAAAGAAGTAGGAAAACTGACAACCCTCAACGGGAAGAGACTGAGACTGAGAGACACATTAGCTTGAATCAGCAGGTTGTCAGACAAAAACTCCTTATTCCGAGACTCACGGTCAAGAAGCATCTCCGTTAAGCATGAAAGAGTTAATGATTCCGAGAGTGAAGCGAATGACGTAGTGCAGAAAATTTGGAACTAAAATGTGCTCCAAACAACATGGAGATAGCTTGCCAGATATCATGCGCCGTCGTGACCCAATCAGGTGAGACAGCTCAAAAGACACCGTGGATAACAACCAGGACGCAAGCAACTTGTCTTGTTGCCAAAGGATCTGAAAACACGGATTCTCGACTAACAACCCATCCTTAACTCATCTGGAGAAGACGAGCTATCCAGAAATCGCAGCAATCCATATCCATCCATAATCAGCAGGATCTGATGCTTCCAAAGGATATAATTGGATTGGGAAAGCTGAGAGTGTCAAGCTTCGGCAAATGTTGCACCACCGTTGTAGACAGAGGCAACGAGCTAGAAGAACCATGACCAGTAACTTGAGAATCAATTGCTATAGCACTCAAAAACACCATAGAGGAACCAAAAAACAATTAAAAAGCGACTGATATCATTTTAACATAAGAAAGAGATACGACACTCTCACCCATATTATTGATAAAACTTGTAATATCCCAAAGAGGACTAGACTACTTATACACGAAGAAGAGAGGTAGTGAACGGGCGAAACTTCCTAACAGTCGAAGACTAACCTTTCTAACAACCTATACCAGTGCAGTACAACACCCTAACTGCACTTGGTAACTATGTATACTCATAACAATCTGGTGTAGTTTACTAGAATAGTTATTAGCATTGTTTGATTATGGACAGGTTTTGACCGATCGAACCAATCAAAAGTTCAACCTCCAGATCGATTTTATTAGTGGACCGCGACGCATAAAATGGAAAACATTCCCGATTGGTCGAGCAGCCTGCCAGCTGTCCGACATTTTCATCCATAAATCCTCGTCCTGTCCCAAGTCCCGACAAGCTGAATTATCAAGTAAAGTACTGTTCCAAAATCCGATGCCAGTCCAACAATGATTTCATTCGTGCGTGTTTTGTGGCTTTTGACGCCAGGCTAGGGGCCCAACTCTTCCAATTCCACTTCTCTGCTAAACCCTTCGCAATACATTTCTTACTTTATTTATGAATTTTAATTCAGATTAAAAATGTTGTTGAAATACGGCTACATTGTTTATAAAAAAAACACTTTTAAAAAATGTTTTAAAGTGTTGAGAAAATATGGCATGTTAATTGAAAATATTTAATAATACTGTCAAAAGTATTATGAAATAATTTAGGAATGTCGTTAGAAAATAAAAGTATCATAAATATTTTGGATTCTACAATATTTGATTGGATTAATCAGTTAATAAATTGGATATCAATAATTAAATTTGAAAAATAAAAGTTTTACATAATATCTAAATAATATTTTTTATAACTTTATATCCCAAACATAAAAATAAAGTCAAAAACTAATTACTTATCTTTTTTAAGTTGAATTGAAAAATATTTTGCATTCTAAAAAATATTTTTTAATCTTGTTATTTATTGTTTCAAAAGGTATAATAATAAACTTAATTATCAACATTTATTTTTTTCATTGTTAAATAATCTTTATTTTCAATAATTAAATTTAGTTTTTAATATTTTAAATGAGAGTAATAATAATTTAAAATAAAAATATATATTAAAATATTAAAATTTTAATGATTTTAAAATGATAATTCATATGTACTTCATGTTAATGTGACACCGTTTATCTTATATATGATATATAAATAATTTAAAATTATAAAATATTTTAGAAGTTAAAGAATTAGAAAACAACTGCATGAAGTAGGATGTCATATCAATGATATTTCAATTTTAATATTTTAGTTATTACTTGTTTGGAGAATAATAATTTTATTCTTTTTGAAAAATTAAAGTTGGTTTAAGGTTAAATATAATGCTGTCTTAAATTAAAAGTTAAATTTAACTTAAAATTACAAAGATTACCATTACGTTTACATATACTTTTTTCTCCTCCAATTCGAAGGCTTCGCCAGTTTAATCTCGACCGACCCGGGTCACACACCTGATCTTGGTGGATAAGTCTTCTAGCAAAATTTTTTTGCATACACAAAGACTCAAACCTGAGACCTTGCTTAAACGATATTATGCTACTTACCACTTGAACCAACCTCTTTGGTCGTTTAACTTAGACTTTTCATTCAAAATTAATAAAAATAAAGTTGTATTTAAAATTAATCTTTTATATTTCATATTAAATATGTTACCTAATTCTTTAAAAAGAACCTAAAATGTTTGAGTAAATTTTCATTTTCCATACTGAAGTTTCAAAAGTAACAAATTGGTCGCTAACATTATCGATTTGTAACAAAATGTTCACTAACTTTATCAATTTGTAACAAAATGGTCACTCAACCGTTATCTATGTTAAATCGATGACGTGACAACATTAAAAAATGTTAATATATAGTTTACCCCTAAATATTGCTAAAATATTAAATAAGTCCTTAACAATGATTTTATATCTAAGTCATCCCAAAAGCTTTTTAATTTATAGTTTTTTTTCAAACACCTCACCATCACAACTATATTTGAACCACCTTTCTTACCAAACGAAAATCACACTGCATAAATAAATGGAGCTTTTCTATTAAAGACAATACATGAGTATTTAAAGCCCATATTGGATTAATTTTAATGTAAAATAATGTTTTTAGATGGTTTTCGTTTTGCAAGGAAAGTGGTTAGAATATTTAAAGACAAACAAGAGTTTTGCTTAAATGTGGTTTTCGTTTTTGTAAAGAAAGTGGTCAGAATATAATTGAGATGGTGGGATGTTTGAAAAAAACTAAAGTTTAAAAAGCTTTTGGGTTAAATTATATAAAATCATTTATGGACCTATTTGAAGTTTTAGCAATAGTTTAGGGGTAAAACTAAATATTAACCTTTTTATTAACGATGTCACATCATCAATTTAACATAGATAACGGTGGAGTGACCATTTTGTTACAAATCGATAACGTTAGTGACTAATTTGTAACTTTTTAAACTTCAATGGGAAAACAAAACTTACTCGAAAATTAGTGACCATTGATGTAGTTTACCCTTTTTAAAAACACTTTGAACTGTGGGTGCATGAATATCATTGAGCACAATTCTGGCATCTAAAGACTAAACACCTCTTTTATGCAATAATTCAGCGACTTAAAACACCTTGAAAGCTGCTGAAATGATTTGGCAATAGAGTCGTGAGCAGGGTACAGCTGTCGTCGGAAAGAGGGTTTGAAGGAACAGCTGTCTAGTTGATTGGATTAGGTTGGTTAGTTGGAGTGATGTTTATAAAGAGCACTTGCACAAGTGACAAACTCCCATCCTTTTCCGACTGAACAATGGCTAATTAGGCAAATTACCCCATATTTCAAAACCCTTTGTTGCTCATTAATATTGCTAACGCTGAAGAGATGAGCTCTATTTCAAGCCTAAAACGAACGCCAAACTTCTTTAACCGACAAAAAAAAAGGAGGAAAAACCACACAATGATGTACAGTAGTTTTCATGGAAGCCATCTTTGAACCCACCGGCCTACACCATAGTATTAGCTGTCCTGGGGTACGGTGGTTGAATTATTCCTATGTTTAAGTTCTAAAACAAGTCTCATGCCTTTAAGTTTCAGAATGTCATTTCTCCCACGTTTGGTTTATAATAAAACCTAGTCCATTAATATATGGAAACAAACACTATATATCTATAGTTGACAGGGTGTTGAATTATCTTACCGACTTGGACAATGATGGTATTACAGAATGCATGCACCTATGGTTAATTAATTAGAGGTTTTGTTAATTTGGCTTGTCGCTTGTCATCTCAGGCCAATATCATCTTAAAAGCAAGTTTGAACTTGGGATCAGAAAATTGAATGTCAGTTTGCCAATAAGCATACAAATATCATGAATCATGTAAGCTTCTGTTACGTGATAATTGATTTTCAGGGACTCGCCCAAGCAAACCGACTTGGATTATCAAAAGAATCCAAGTTTAAAGCTCTATTTATTAACCCCACAGAAAAGGATAGCAAGAAGAGCACCAATTGTCATGTTGGAAAAGCCACTACTAATTATCAATCATAAACAATGAGAAAATTACTTTGGCCGGTCCAGATAATTCTATTGGAGCGTTTCGGTCCACAATATTCCATGAAATTTGACAAGTCACAGCTTCACACTTCTTTCTCATCTCTTCCGAGTACTTGCCATAGGATCGTTTCGGATTTTAGCATGCACACCTAACCCTTTTCAATTACCAAGTACTAACCAGTACTTCTTTTAGATCTCCAACATTTTTGCTATAAATACAGAACGCTAAGAGCGATACGTTCACACTAGAAAGGCAAACAATTCTCTGTTTCTTTCTAATCAGTAATCATTAGATTTTAGTCATGGCTATTATTTCCAGGGCTTTGATTTCTTCACTTCTCATCTATCTTCTCATCATTCAACTGGTTGAAGCTGATCATCAACTGGTAAACCTTTATTACATTCCTGGATAATTTATGCGACGAACTCTCTGTTAGTGGTAGTAATGATTCTTGTGAAATACAGGTGGCAAATGCTAGAAAGAAAACCTCGCCCCTGAAGAAAATTGGTAAATATTTTAACACGTCAAATATGATACCGAGATATGAGTAGGCTAAGTCAACCCATTTTTAATATATATAAATGGTTTTCAGACTGTGGTGGAGCTTGTGCAGCAAGGTGCCGATTATCATCAAGGCCACACTTATGCAAGAGGGCATGCGGGACATGTTGCGCGCGTTGCAACTGTGTTCCTCCAGGAACTGCCGGCAACCAAGAAATGTGCCCCTGCTATGCTAGTCTGACCACCCACGGTGGTAAACGCAAGTGCCCTTGAGTTCCTATCAACCTCATTCAATCTATTTCTCCTTAATTTGATAATAATTAACGAGTTGCTATAAAGAAGGTTTGCATGGTGTGAGAATAAATAAAAGAACGTACTATCTATATGTAAAGCTAAAGTCATTATGTTAATGACTTGTTCTCCTTTCTTTCTTTCTTTGGTGTGATATTAATATAGTTGATGATGGTTTGTATCGAGCTTGAATATATATCATGTGTGTGTATAATATGAAATAATAATTATGCTTGTATAGTTCTCATCGCTTTTTTTATGTTACTTGTATTTGCATAAATACTATATATTTGAGTTACCTTAAAGAAAGATTTTAAAGCGGGAGAAAACTAAAAAGAAATTGTAAAATGGATGTCAAACGGCACGTGTACTATATTAAAATTACGTATGTGGCGGAGCAAGCAAAAAAGGTATGATTACGACTCGATGTATCATGCTTTTGCCATGTTAAGCACTTCAACCCTCCCTCATCTCACATATGCTTTAAGCAGTCGCGAAAATAGAGCAAAATTGAACCTGCATCCAAAGATTCATTGATAAAATAGAATGAATTACTTGAGCATTAACTCAGGAGGCAATTAATGGCAGTTTACAGGTTGAAGTGAACCATTTCATGCAACCAAATTCAAAGAGAATCTTGAACAATCAAGCAAGCAATTAAGAACTGAAGTTTGATCAAGACGAAATTCCACACGTCCCTCGTGCTATTTGAAAAACAGTGTATTCTCATAATTCTTCTTCACATGACTTAACATCTACGTTGAGACACATAAGGGAATTATTCATCTATCAGTCTGATTGCTTTCTTTCCTTTTAAGGCCATAACTTTTGGTAAGAATCCAGCAAACCTTTACATTACCGTCTATTCCTTCCTTTCTCTTGCTATAAATGCCAGGCCAAGCAGTGTGGATCTACTCATCGCACTCCCAAACTTTTAGTTCTACAAAATAGCTATAATTCTGAAATCTACTTGTGATGGCCGTTTCCAAATCCCTTTTGGCTTCCCTTCTTCTTTCTCTACTTTTACTTAGCTTTTCTGATTCCTCTGATACAATGGTAAAGCACTCGCAATTCTGAATCTTGTTCTTAAACCTTCAGAATTTGGCTCACTTATGTGTTTACAGGTGATCAAAAAGCCCGGTGGATAATTTTGTGATCAGTGATGGAAAAATAGCTAATAATTATACCTGCGTCCTTAAGTATACTACTAATAATAGCTCAGCTTTGAATTTTGACTGAAGTTTTTATACGAGTTATGGTTTAATTAGATTGTGGTAAAGCATGTGCTGGGAGATGCAAGCTATCGTCGAGGTCGAACCTTTGCAAGAGGGCATGTGGAACATGTTGCTCTCGATGCAGCTGTGTTCCTCCTGGCACCTATAATAACTATGATGCGTGTCCTTGCTACCGTGATATGACCACCCATGGCCGTAGACATAAATGTCCATAAATTATAGATAGTAAATTATATAATAATAAGATTATGATGACAATAATCACTTGCAATGTAAAAGCCATGCATGTGTTTCAGCTTTTGGCTACTTTTGGTTTATATATTTCCAGTCGGCTTTTTTTCAGAGTTAATACAAATATAATCAATTGGGCTGAGTCAGGGTTGAAAAATATGTGACCCGAAATGGACTATCAATGAGGGATATTGCAGGCCTCTTTGGGCTTCATTGCATTTGAGCCCACCGAATTTTTTGCTTTACCTGGAGAGGTCCATTAGTTCATTTTTTTTAGATGGAATTTAATCGAGTTCATGGTGTTATGACCCTTGACTGATGGGATTTGTAGGCTTAGCAGGGACTACTTTCCCAACAATAAACAAAGCTTTGATTAGCGGTAATAAATAGAGTTAGACCTAACCCTTGCGAGAGGGCATTCACCGTCTCCAGAGACGATCCTGTGAGAACACCTGAATTTGGAGCCAATGCCCGGATGAAACGCTACCTACCCTTGCTCTTCATTTTAAAACAAAGGTCTTTATGTTTTATATGTTGGGACAAGGACACGTTTATATATAAAGTAGCTAGTTTTATTAAAAATATGGTATTTCCTTATTATTATTGAGATAAAAACTAGTCACCTGATCACATTAGTACCAATGAAGAAAAAAAGTTGAAAAACTTAAACAAAAAGATCGAACAAAACGCAAATCAAACCACTGATAAATCTGACTGTATCGGCAAAAGAACTACAAATGGGGATGAAACTACTGAAAGACCACCAACAAATCGTAAAGCAGAGATAAAACAATCCACGAACGCAAAACGCGTATCCAAATCAATCAGATGATCCAAAACAGGGAAGATAATCATGATAACAAATAAGCATTATCTTGATCAGTCGTGGCAATATCAAATACAACCCTGAGAAAATAGATAAACGAAAACAATGACAAAACACTGTAAGCTCCCAAAAACAGAGAAAACATGAAATAAATACAGAGAATATGTCACAAATACATAATTATTCTTATTAAAAAATAAAAAAATAAAAAAATAACTGACGAACGACAACCAATATCAAAATCGATATCGCTGTCAATTAAACAAAAACAAAGAAGAAATTGGATTGATCAATAAAATTGATATAAATTATAAAAAAAAGGAAGAGAGAGAGAGGAGGAAGAAATCAGTTAGAATTTTTATAAGTGGTTGTTTGATAAAATAAAATGATTAAACGCTAAATGATTCAATGACATGAATGATTCAAAGGCTTTATATGAATTGACTCTGAATGTGACATGTTATTTGATAATGGTTCTGAATGTACAATATGAATTATGGATATTTTCATTTTTACTTTCATAATGATTTATTATATTATAAGATATAATTGTTTTAATAAGACATCATGTGAAAAAATAGGTATTATGGTAAAATATCGGATGCTTAATGATTCATAATGTACTTTAATGCTGAATCATTCAGCAGTGTTTTGTTGTTTCATTCAACATAGTTTTTATTCAGAGGTAAGAATCAAACACGCTGAATGTTGAACGATACAGTATTCAACCCTGAATGATTTCATTCAGCAGTAAACAAACGACCCCTAAATTTCTAAGTTTATTAAAAAAATACCACACATAATAATATGTCAGTATAGAGCATGGAAAAATCATCAATTTTTAGCATTTAATTTAATGAATAATTCGTTTGAAGTGCAAGTTTGAAATTGGTTCGATTTACCGATAATTATTTGATCAACTACTAAGAAATATTTTTTTAAGTTCAAACTTTGTTAAGATGGTATTGAAAAGTTAGAATCAATGGTGCTACGGTAATATTAACTTCATCCACCTGGAAAAAATATCCATAAATCACGCACAATGAATGACATAGTTGGGCTGCCTTTGACACGCCGAGGAGCAGACAAATCGAACTGGGATCGGTACGATTCGCATCCTCAACCTCACCCAAAAATTCAAAGAAACTCTCCTTCTCATTAAATCGCCGAGTCCCACTCTTTTTTGTTCCTATGCCTCGCTACCGTCAACCTTCTCTTTGTTCCTACTATAGAATACACTTTTTAACCACAAAGTTCCACTCGCGTGTCTTGTAGCGCGTGGCTCTCAAACCCATTCTCTCTCCCCTCTCACATTAATTTACTTTAATAAATGGCTACTTAATTACTAAAATATAGGAATGCCACGCGTATACATCCCCGGTGCAATGCGATTACTGGCCGTCGGATAAAGCGTCTTTAACTCGGGTTTCAGTTACTCTAAATTTTTATTAAAAGCACTGAACAATTTTATATAATTAAAGAATCCAAGTAATCGAAGGGTCAAAATTGGCCGAGCTTGAAGTTGATGACTAACGACCGTAGATTTCGGAATCAAATTGCACCATTTGCTGGGTGAAAAGGTGAAGATCGGACGGCTATGGAAAGGAGAGGTAGAATTAAAAATGGAATGACGTGAGCTGGGACTTGGAGTTTGTGGGCATAGGGAGTACAAATAAATGAAAGTCGTTTTGCTGCGAAGATTATTCATTTTAAAAGCCAACCACAGAGAGAAAGGTAGAGAGCGCAGTGGGAAATTCTGAATTTAATGAACGACAAAGGTTGCCTGATAGCCGCATTCAATTTCTGCTGCTTATATTTCATCTTGTTTTGCTTTACCTGAGATTTCCTTTTCTTCGTTCTTGATTGCTTGGCTTAACCTTCAATGGCGCGGCTTTGGTTTTGATCTAAAAAGGGCAAAGTGAAAGGAAAGATTAAAGGAAAAGTGAAAAAGCGTGATGAATTCCTTTTCTTATTGTTTGGTTGAGAAAGTAGATTCGTTGCATTAATGATTTCTCCTCTGTTTATGAATTTACAGTTTAAAAGAGTTTTGTTTTCCTCAAAGGATATGCTTTTCTTGAGAGTTTTTCTTTTATATATATAGTTTCAATGCCATCTTTATCTCTTAATATTACTCTTTCAGGCTCTCGTTGCTTTTGTTTTTCACGAACAACTTGATTCTCTAAGCACGAAGAACGAATTACTTTCACTTTTTTTATATATAAAAATAACATTCTCTGCTCTCTTTTCTCTGTAAACAAAAATGTTTCTCTTCTTTCTTACATCCGCTTTCTCGGCTGAGATGAAATGGAGATCCTCTTAAGCACTTTGCTAAACTCACAAAACAAAGAGAAAAGAGAGAGAAACGGAGAGATATCAGGCAAGGCAATCAAATTTGATTTATTTTCTCTTTCCTTTGAAAAACCAAAACCCAAACGCCACTTTTTCGGTTTTCTTTCCGGCTAACTTTTCGCTCATAACTAAAACCCGAAGAACGAATTACTTTCACTTTTTTTATATATAAAATAACATTCTCTGCTCTCTTTTCTCTGTAAACAAAAATGTTTCTCTTTCTTTCTTACATCCGCTTTCTCGGCTGAGATGAAATGGAGATCCTCTTAAGCCTTTGCTAAACTCACAAAACAAGAGAAAAGAGAGAGAAACGGAGAGATATCAGGCAAGGCAATCAAATTTGATTTATTTTCTCTTTCCTTTGAAAAACCAAAACCCAAACGCCACTTTTTCGGTTTTCTTTCCGGCTAACTTTTCGCTCATAACTAAAACCCAGAAAAAAATTAAATAAAGTTCATCCATCTCATCTTCTTCGTTTTTCCTTCTCTCATGTCTTCATCACTAAATTATACACAGAGTTGCATTAAAAGGAATCTTTCTCTTACCTTGTTTTTTTTCTTCTTGTTTTTGTTCATGTAATTGAAGAAGTTGTATTGGAGGAGAAGAAGAAAGATCTGGTTTGAAGCTTTTTATGAGTTAATTTGGATTCGAATCGTTTATTTTGAAACCGTGAATGCAGTTTTCTGAAAAAGGAGCCGCCAAGGGATATAGCGTGAAGTTAGTAATGTTATCATGAATGTAATGGACAAGAGTTGAGACGTGAGGCGTGGAATGACTAGGTTATCACGACAACAGGCTAATACTAACAAGAAACAACAACAATCTCGACCCAGTATCTTGTTTGGTAAATTTACTCTAAAAACCCTCCCTTTTCTTGTCTTTTTCATAACATTCCTTAATTATTTTCTTCCTTTTATTATTATTCGGATAAGAAGGAGCTAAGTATGTGATAAATTCCATTGGTTTTGAAGGTAGCGTTGGCGTTGCTGGGGAGTTCGTTTCTTTAACGAAAGCAAAGAAAGAGAAAATGCGGAGATTATGTAGCGTTAATGGTCATAGAGAAAGTCCCAGTCCTTGTCCCGATAGCAATCCACATTGTGAAACTGAAATGGGTAGTTCTTTTTGCTGTGATTTGTCTTCTGATAATACAGAAAATCAGCGTCCTTCACATTCACCACAAACTTCTCCCGTCACTAATTCTGCTACCAATATCTTTAAGATACCCAAAAAGGTAAGTTTTCTCCTTTTTCATCGCTCTCAGCTAAAATGAACATTTTCGTCTTTGAATTTGAGAGCTTTAAATTTTATTTATTTTCCTCTGCAGTTCATTTATGACTGCAATGTCGTTAATCATGCATCTGTTCCACGGAAGCTGCGGTCAGGTGTGTAACTTGTGAATGAGTAACAGGAGGATTGTTTTCTGGAATAAAAATAATTTATTCTAAAAAAGTACTAGGAAAGGATTTTCTTTTTCTGTATTTTATAAAACTATTTTCCTTCTTTTGCTTTTGTTTTTGTCAGGGCTAATGAACTTGTTGTCCTGTCGTTTTAAATTATGTTTGCATTTGATTGTGGAGTTGCTGGGAAGTTTCTCAATTTTTGTTTGTGCTTTTGGATTAGAAGTTTGGAACTGAAGCGAAACCAAGGCCTTTTGCCTTTTCTTTCCTTTTCTTTTCTTCCTATGGACGCAAGATTCTTTTTGCTGTCTTATTTCTCAATTCTTTAATATTATCTATGCTGTCACTTTTATGGTGTGTATTAATTATACTATGTTGAGTTTTTGCGCCTTTCTGTGTACTGAAATTTACTTTTCCAAAGGTGGTACCGGCCAGCTTTTAATGAATTTAAAACTTGAATCCTTGTAGAGGAATAAAAAAGACGTTTCATGGGATTAATGTTTTTGGATATTTGGAATTTTATTCACAGCCATGAAGAAGCGCAGTCAAGAATCGATCTCCCCTCCTCCACCAGAATCTAAGAAAACGAACCATACGCTTAGTGGAGTTGAAGTCCATAGAAAGGATGGTCTAAAGAAACCAAAATTGAAATTGGTTGGTCAATTGTCATTAATTCTCCAGTTGTCAAGCTCGATTATGGTTCTTTTTCAGTTAACTATTTTACCTTATGCTGTTGAAATTGCTTTTTGTAGAAACAAGGAGAGTTAGACTGGTCCAGGAAGGAGACTGTTTCTGGACCAATAACAAAAGATGAGGAAGAAGTTGTGGAGACCCTGTATGCTTTGGCGGGAATGTTCCCTGATAGTGACTCAATTGATACGAATAAAATGAATGGTGAACCGATAGAAGCAAAACCTTCAGCTCCTCCAGAGACCGTCATAGCAATTGAAGGTTTTCATCACTTACCAAGCATTTGGAAACTTTTTGTTTGTTTTCTTCTGTTGTATGAATTTTATGATTTTGCAGTTAAAAAAGAAGATGCAAACACAGTTTCCTATCCACAAGCAACCGAGTTTGTTCATCCATATTTTTTAGAGGATTCAACCAGCGATGCTGCTAAATGCAATTCTTTGAATGAAACTATATATCAAGATAAGCCTGACTTGCCAGAAAGCAGGAAGCCCCATTTTGAACCAGATAGTAGTAGTTCTCAAATGAGGCCGAGTGGTTCCATCTCTTTCTTGACTAGGAGTGAACCTGAAACTGATAAGTCATCTTGCATTCCTGGCAACTCTCATGTTCGATCTGAACTAACCTTAAAAACTGGGTAAGTGCCGAGTGTTTTTCTTTTACTTTCCTCCTCTTCTTATCTGGTGTTCTCTTTTTTGTTCTCTTTTAATTGATCATACATATGCAGGTTGAAGCAGCAACTGGTGACCAATCTTTTTGAAACAAAGGCAGAAATGACACTTGGGGTATAAGCCTGACCCCAAGGTCAAAATCAAATACTGATTTCATTGGTCAATCTTGAACTCATATGGTTGATTTGGATTATTTGTAGGTTACTGCTGCAGAAAACCAAATGGCACAGCAACATATTATCAAGGAACTCGGAAAAGATAGTAAATACCAGCTTGGGTTCTTCCATTGCTATATTTTGTTTCTTTGCTATTGGATACTAATATCTGTACACTGACATAATGTTGGTCCTATAGGTCTTGCATTGTTGCAAAGCTTGGCCCTTGGTTCTTGTACCCCAGGTTCTTCAAAGTAATTCTCTTTTATCTTCATAAATATTTGTTTTTATTACCAACTTTATGGCATCCTTAATACTTTTTACTATATATCAGATCATCTGCTAATAAATTTCCTGCATGGTTGGACGCTGCAATGTATGGCCCCAGAACATTTTCTTTAGAAAGTGGTTCTTCGAGTGAAAAGGTATACATGTTCAAATTCCCGTTACCTCTGCATTCATGAATTTTCCTCTGCCATTCAAGCATCTAAATCAATCTTATGACAAATGATGAGATTTACAGGTTCCAAAAGTCACCATGGATAGGAAGTCGATGAAGAGGTGTGCCACTCATGTATACATCAGTTGTCTCATTCGTAATTTACAGATGCACAACAAAGACAGCATTCTTCAACAGCCTCTTCAGTTAAAACCCCATACCGGACTCAAGCAAACAGCTCTCTTGTATCCTAAAGATGACAATAACTTGAGAAATCCTACAAATGGCAATCTACCTAGTAGCAGTTCTGGCCATTCTGCTACCAATAGAAATGATTATGAAGCTAGAAATGGTGTTCTACAGCCAAAGATGGTCTATCAGGAACAGACACAGGTTGCTTCAGCATCTGGGAGGAACTCTTCAAATAAGCAGGTAAGGTCAACTATTGGGATTGTTTGTGGTTTTTTTTTTCCACTATCCTGATCACGTACTGTTTACTGCACAGACTTTTGATTTCTTGTCTTTGTCGGCTGGGGGCATTAATGTGGAAGTTAATAATAGCTCTAATAAAGTTGGAAATACAATTGAATCATTGTCACAACTGCACGGAAAAGTTCCGTACCTTCATTCATTTCAACAACATTCACCTGTGCCTTTCTCAATACCTGCAAGTCGTTACACAGACCACCGTACAACAGCTACACAGCAGGTTTGATTCTCTGTTATGGTCCTCCCTCCCTTTTCCTTAATATCTTGCAAAAATAGGTTAATGATGGGAATTCTATTTGAAAACCTAACATTCAACAGCGCATGAAATAATTGCATCCGATGTGTGAGGTTATCCATAAAATTGCTGCATTTTTAGGTTCCAGTACCAGTACGGGACCATCGATATGATTTCATAGCAAGCTCGGTTGAATCTTCTTGTGGTTGTTTAGGGCTACTATGGTTTATATTATGTGCTAGCCTGGTTATTTCTTTTCATGAAAGCTACGCTAATTTTCTGGTAATCTACTGCAGGTCCAACTGCAGCTACCACAATATCCCAGTAACCCTTTTTGTGCCCCTCCTTACATGAGTCATTCGGGAGTTACAAAGCAGCAGCAGCAGCGACTTTGGGCAGCTCACCGAGCAGCTCAGTACAAGACTGGAACCTCCACAGTCTTGACCCAATTTCCAAGCTGGCAAAATGGAAAGCCCGAGTCCTCTACATCTATGCCTTATACTCAAAATGCCAATCCTCCCTTTTCAAGTCTAGATGCTTTTGGTCCCAAGTATAATACAATCACACAACATCAGCTGCCGAAAATTGCTATTTCTTCATCTTTGCTGCCAGCCAAAGCGAAAAGGTCAGACCACCATCTTCCGTCCATATACGAAGAAAGCAATGGTAGATTACGTGCCAGTGGAATGCCTTTGCAGTTACTCTGCGATGAGCGCTTCTAGAGTTTGAATTAGGTCCTTTCTGCTTACGATGCACACAGTTAACATTATTTTATTCTTTCAACTGCAACTCGTAGCTAGCCAGTGCTCATCGTTGACTGAGTCAGGTTTATCTATTGACCTACAGATTCGGGAATGAAATATAAGTAGACACTAATATTTACCAAGAAGATATTTTAATGCCCGTTGCCTCGTGATCACCCCCTTAGGGTGAAAGATATAAAAATGTCTAATTGTGTATGTTTATAGGCTTAATCTTGTGTCCTCTTTTCCTGTTTCATTCAAATTGTATTATTTGCTTAATTGTTTCAATTTTGTAGGGTTTCTCAAATCGACCGCATTGTCACTTCGCTGCTGATGTTTCAGTTTAACTTGCAAATCAGTTCCCTCCAATAAAAAATTTACCCAATGGAAAACAAAGAAAAACTTTATCCAATTTATAAACAATGTAAATATTGCAAGTACTACATGGGGAAAAAGAGGCAGGGGATAAAAGGAAGGTCAAATTTTACCAAATAAAACTTCTCCAATTTAAACAAAGTATCATTACAAGGTCTACATCGGGAAAAGGGGATCGGATTGAAGGGAAGCTCTGTATTTCAGGTTCCCAATAACACAATAAAGATTTAGCTGTGCAAAACAGACAACAAAAAATAAGATAAGTATTTGACACAAATAGCACCATTTGTCTTTCATGCAGAGTCATTTTTAATCAAGTTTATCCAGTTCCCCCATTCTTTCTATTATAGCCTGCAATATGCAACAAGACTAACCTCAGTGCTGGTTTCCAAGCCATCAAATATTTGCATTGCCTCTATATAACAAGAAATTATCAATATATTCAAGCCGTTGGTAAAAGACCATTTTGGTAATGACATGAAAAAACCACCAATAATGAGATAATATTTTATACCAAAAGAAGAAAGACAACCACAGTGTCATTGCTAAAACTAACAATTCCAAAGGTAACAAAGATAAATGGAGAGAGAAGAAAAGTTGCAACGTCAATAAAATCCATCAAACATGAAATAATATGTAAAAGGTCAGATATGGGGAGGGGGGGGGGGGAAGCAAACCTTTTTGCTTGTTTCTTGAAGCTCTCCAGCAAGAATGAATTCATCGAGTATCAGATAAACCTTAATGAATTTCAAATGAAAACAGTGAAGTGAATTCAGAGGAATATGACAATCAACCGTTATACACACATTTAAACCAATGAGAGGAACGTATAATCAAATTCATATCAAGTTAGCACATGGATTGTTCCAAAATTAAAATTGAACTAATCAAAGCCAGACAAGACGGAAGAACTAGCTTTGACAAGTTAGATAAACAAAGAGTTAAGACTTGAGATCACAAACTAACGAATTCAATTGAAATAAAGCAAAACAAAAAAGGGGGTGGACTTTTTGGTTACTGGAACTCGCAGTTTCATGTGAATCGGATAGAAAAACTGAATCCAGCAAGTGATGTTCATGCAAAAGTTGACGATAACATACCTTGTGGAAATTAAAAACCAAGTCGAGCTCGCAAACATTGCTGAAAAAGTGGTCCAATATCTCCACAAATAAATGGATAGACTCCAAATATGCCAACTCATTATCCGTTATGTCGACACACAATGAGAAAAACAATCCGGCATACCGCCTGTAGATTACCTTGTGCGTACGAAACTGCAAAAAAAAAAAAAAGAATGCATACGATCAATCAAACATTCGCAATTGCTTGCCTAAAGTCTAAGTCTTGCCTTACTTTTGTATTACTTCAATTTTATGGTTATAACGATCAAGGAAGCTGTAAATGAATAATGCTTTCTTGCATTCAAGAAGGATTAGAAGGCTGGTTTATATACAACTATAAAATTAACTAACCAACCAAAATACAACTGCTAACTAATCAGCTAACTAACTGATAACAAACAAACTAATTACAAGCAGATAACTAATCTGCTATAAGCTACAAAGATTACAAGCTGAAGTTGATATACTCTAATACCCCCCTCAAGCTGGATGTGTATGTATGTTAAGGAGACCCAACTTGGCAATGAAAGCTCGATGCATAGGAGGTCAAAGGGTTTTGGTGAAGATGTCAGCCAACTGGTCTAAGGAACGGACGTGAAACAACTTCAGAAAACCAGCTTTAACCTTGTCTCGTACAAAGTGGCAATCAACTTCTATGTGCTTTGTTCTCTCATGAAACACTTAATTAGTTGCAAGGTTAATTGCAACCTGATTATTGCAATATAATCTTGCATAATCAACATCCTCATGAAATGAAGAGAGCAAAGAAACGAGCCAAACTAATTCACATGTAGCCATAGCCATAGCTCGATATTCAGCCTCGCAGGAAGATTGGCTAACGACAGCATGTTTCTTCGATTTCTAGGATACCAAACTGTTACCAAAAAAGGCACAAAAACCAGTTGTGGAGCGTCTTGTATCGGGGCATGAACTATAGTCCGAGTCAACAAATATGCTCAAGTGGCTAGTGGACTGAACTGGGAAAAATAAACCAAGACCAGGAGAACTTTTAATATATGCCAGGAGATGCTTTAAGGCAGTCATATAAGGCAGGCGAGGAGAGAAAACAAACTGGCTCAACAAATGTACAGTATGAACAATATCTGGCGTAGTATTAGTCAAGTACAACAAACGACCTATCAATCGACGATACTCCTGGGAATCAGGAAGTAATTCTCCTTCATTTGCACTCAACTTCGAGGATAAAAGTATGGGTGATTCGGCTGGTTTGGTACCCAAACATCTTGTATCTGCTAGTAACTGCAATGCGTATTTCCTCTGGGATAGAATGATTCCATAGCTATTCCTAGCAATTTCAAAGCCTAGGAAATAACGCAGGGGCCCTAACTCCTTTAGTTTGAAGTGTCTTTGAAAAAGGCTTTGTATTTTATAAAGAACTTGTAGATCTTCCCTGGCCAAAACGATGTCATCTACATAGACGAGAAGAGCAATGAATCCACTGCCACATCCCCTTGTGAACAAAGAGTGTTCAAATGGAGATTGCTGAAAACCAAGTTGAATAACAACGTTCGAGAATGCAATGAACCATTGTCAGGATGCTTGCTTCAGACCGTAAATGGATTTGTGAAGCCTGCAAACCATGTTAGATCCTTTGAGCTCAGACTTGTATCCAAGAGGTAATTTCATCTAATGTGCCATTTAGAAAGGCATTGTTTACATCTTTGTGCCATTCAGTTGAATAACAAGTGCCAGTTGCGTGTTGCTGCAAGGGAAAGCAGGACTCGAAAGGAGGTCATCTTTGCAACAGGTGAAAACGTGTCCATGTAGTCAATGCCCTCAACTTGTGTGAAGCCCTTAGCAACCAGTCTGGCTTTACAACGATCAATTGAGACATCAACATTATACTTCACCCGATAGGCCCATTTGCAGTCAACAACACTCTTTCCAGTAGGTAATGGAACAATGGTCCATGTTCCAAGCTCTTCCATGGCTCGAAGTTCATCACTCATATCATTTCTCCAAGTTGAAGACTTGACATCTTGATGATAATAAGAGGGCTCAGCAACAGTCGAGATATTTGCAACAAATGCTTCATAATCGGTGGAAAGTTTTGAGGAAGAAACAAAACTTTCGATGGGATATAAACATTTTGAGAAAGCATTATTGCAATAATAGTGCTGAAGGTAGGAAGGTTTCTAAATGGTACGAGAGGAACGTCGAACTGGTATTAAAATTTCATCAGTCAAGGCAGCAGGTTCTGAAGAACCATCCGCGTGTGATTCAGCATGCTCAGGAGAAGCGTTGTTATTCGAATCAGTAGAGCCCAGGGGAGCATCACCAGTTGAGTTATTAGAGCCAAGAGAAGCTTCACCATTCAAGTCAGCATGTTCAAGAGGAATCTGTTGAAATTCATGCACGTGTGAAGCATCAACCATGTCATTTACAACCTTTGGCAGGCAAAAGTCCAAAAAATGTCAACAGAATTGTCAGACAAGCTTGCATTTCGAAAAGGAAATAACCCTTCATGAAATACCACGTTTCTAGAAATAACAATCTTCTGGCTTTGCAACACATAAACGCGATATCCCTTTACACCTGGAGGATATCCAATAAATACCCCAGGTAAAGCTCGAGCTGAAAATTTATCCCGTTGAGACTTCAAAGTGGAAACAAAGCAAAGGCAACCAAAGGCTCGTAGCCTGCTGTAATCTGGTAGATGACCATGTAAGACTTCATAAGGGGATTTATTGTTCAAGGCAGGTGATGGAAGTTTATTAATTAGATATGTTGCAGTAAGTAAGCAATCACCCCAAAACTTGATTGGCACCTTAGACTGGAAATACAAAGCACGAGCAACTACCAACAAATGCTGATGTTTTCTTTCAACTATAGAGTTTTGTTGAGGTGTCTCCATGCATGAAAACTGATGCATTATATCCAAGTTAGCGAACAATTCAGTGAATTTTAACTCAGGAGCATTATCAGACCTGAAAGATTTTATATCAATTTCAAATTGTTTCTTAACCATTGATATAAAAGCGGGTATAATGGTGTTGACAACAGATTTATGCTGCAACAAATAAAACCAGGTAGATCTCGAGAAATCATTAACCAATGTTAGAAATGAAGCCTGTCCAGAATATGTTTTGTGCTTGTAAGGTCCCCATATATCACAGTGAACTAACTCAAACAATCGTGTAGTATAAGAAGAAGAAACTGGAAATGGCAACCTTTGTTGCTTGGCCAATGGGCAAACTTGACAAGATTCTTTCATCTTTACATTCTTTAAAGGCAAAGCATCTTTAAGAAGATGCATGACATGGAGACTGGGATGGCCCAATCTGTTATGCCAGTCACTAGATAAACTGCTAGACACATTATTACATGAAATATTAGATCTGAATGAAGACATCTGCAGCAAATAAAGTCCTTGAACCAGCTCACCCTTCCCAATCACTCAATGAAGGTCCTGAATTAAGCAATTCGTTTTGCAAAACATCACACTAAGGTCAGAGAATTTCAGTAATGCACTGACTGAAAGCAAATTGAATTGAAAGTCTGGAACAAATAGCACATCATACAAAACAAAATCAGATGAAAACCGAATTGCGCCTGCAAAACTGACTGGGATGATGGATCCATTAGGTAAGGTGACTGAGCAGCTCGTTATAGGAAATAATGATTCAAAATTGTTTCTTGAATAGCATATATGTCTTGAAGCTCCCGAGTCCAAAATCCAGTAGTCATATATTCCAACACCAGAAGCAGTTATGTGTGATATGATCTTACCTTGCATGGCAGTATTGATCGAAGTGGTAGGAATATCCAAAGATGATGCTGATTGTAACTGGAAAGTAAGCATGGCAATCAATTGCTGACATTGCTCAGGAGTAAAGGCTTCAGTCACAGTAGGAGAGCTTTGCTGAGATACAACAGAGTTGGTATGAATGGATTGAGAACTTTTACCACAAGAAGAGGTCGAAGAGGACCAATTCTTGGAATTGTAACCAGGTGGATAACCGAACAATTTGTAACACCTTTCTTTTGTGTGACCAAGGAGGTTACAATGGCTGCACAAGGGTCTGTTCTTGCGAGCATTAGTGCCAGGATGCGCCTTGACGCTGTTCAGCAAGCATTCGCTGCACTCCTCCATAATTACACTGGAGACAACTGCATAGCTGTCGAAATGAAAATAGTTCATCCCAAACAATTTTCAACTGTGTTTAGTAATTGCTTACTGACAATTTATATTGCACAAGCTCACATAATCGTTTCTTTACGTGAAATAAACGTGGTCCATTCGCCTGTTGGAAACGATCAACCAAATCTTTCCACATCTCAGCAGTAGTTGTATGATATAGTAAACTTGCAGCAATGTCTTTGGAGACTGAATTCATAAGCCAATAATTGACCAAATTATTGGCTCTTGTCCAAGCATTGAACTGGTTTACCATAGAAGGGTCAGGAGCTTGAATTGAACCATCAACAAATCCAAGCTTGTTCTTGGCAGATTAGGCAAGCATCATCGACCTTTTCCAGCTGTGAAAATTATCATTGGAGAGCAATTGACTCACCAATATCATGCCAGGATTGTCAGACTAATGCAAGTAATAGTGATTTGCCCCATTGTCGAAACTGTCATTCAATGGCTCAACCATGATGAAGTGTGAGAGAAGAGAAACAAACTTCTGATACCATATAACGATCAAGGAAGCTGTAAATGAATAATGCTTTCTTGCATTCAAGAAGGATTACGAGGCTGATTTATATACAGCTATAAAATTAACTAACTAATCAGCTAACTAACTGATAACAAACAAACTAATTACAAGTTGATAACTAATCTGCTATAAGATACAAAGATTACAAGCTGAAGTTGATATACTCTAATAATGGTTAACTTCTCGTCTTCTCCTGGGGTCTCTTATCTAAAACCATGATTTAAAAGGTACTCTTCCACGACTTACTAAAAAATTCCAATAGTAAAAAATGAAATATTAGGAATTCACCAAAAAAAAACAGAAAGTTATTAAAACATATTTAAAACTAAGAATTTGATGCTATTGCACATGCTTCTCAAGTTTAATGGATATGATGTTATTTTCAGAAGGAAAAAAAAACCACCTAAGAGTATGAGATTATACCAACCTCCACGAAATTAGTAAATTTGGGGTCCCTGTTAACCACCAATCGATGAACCTGTAAACGTATAATAAAAATTATTCAACAACTCTAGCTAAAAAATTGACCCAAATTCTAAAACCGTAGGGGGTGAAAATAATGGGTTTCCAAATAATCGATAAAAACGAAAATTGTAATACCTCGTATTCGACTTTGTGCTTCTCGGAGTCCTCGAGAGGAACGTAGTATTTGGCCAGACGAGTCTTGCCTTGCCTGTTTTGCAACAACATAAATCGGATCTGCCATGACCATGACAGAAACAACATGAAGCTTAGATCAGAGAGTTTCCGGCTTTCTCTATCGGGCAAACAGAGGTCAAATTTGGAAAGGGGAAAAAGTAAACAGATAACGTACATACCATTTTCGGAGCCAATGAATTCTGAGGAGTTGATAGGCAGAGACCGAAAATCTAGAGCTCCAAAATGTTATATTTTCAAGTTTCTCGGATGGTCGATCGCGAAAGGTTTTGAAGTTTTTACGGGATGCTGAGCAAAACTATGTTGTGGTCGCGCAGACTTAGATTACTATGTTGCCTTTTGATTAGGGCGTTCTCAACCGTTGATGTGTTTTACTTTCCAGCTGCAAGCTTAAAGCTTAAGCTTGACAACAAAATGGGTGGTTACTACAGTGGGAACAATTGAGATGGGAACATTTGATGATGTCAAATGAACATAAAATGAGTGACCTGAGATGAAACAACCGGTATATTTTTCCTTCTCAAATCTAAAATGACTAACAGTGTAGTTTTTATTATTTTCATATTTTGTTAGGTTAATTAAATTTTTTATTTTAAAAAATAAAATTAATACTCTTATTATGTTATTATTTGTATATGAACGGTCACATCAATAAATTTAGGAATGCTTTTCACATTGAAAAAATGATAATTTTCTACCCATAAATAATACTAAACATCATAATTTTAGTTTATAATAGTAGTTGAATTAATTAAAAAATGGTAAATTACACCGTTCCCAACTCTATTTTATTATCTCTCTTGTTTTTCTCACTAAACTTTACAAATTAAATAATTTTGCTCACTTCCCGTTTTCTCTCTAACGTGACTTTTTTATTATTATTTAATATAAAATAATTAAAAAAACAAAATAAAAACAGAATATGGTATGTTGCCATCGTCCCATCGTTAACCACCATAGATGGTGGTTGTTTGGTCCCAAAATGAGATGGGTCGCTTTGCCTCGACATCGTGAGTTCAAATCCGACCTCCATTTTGTCGGAAGTTGCTCCGAAGTCCACAAATTTAAGATTGAAAGTGAGGAAATCGAAACGTTTCAGTCCAAATTCATGGGTTTTGGGACATTTTCCTGTGAGACAAACACCAGATCCAAACTTAGGGGTCGAGACGAACCGACCCATCCTATTTTGGGACCCATCCTATTTTGGGACCGAACGACCACCATCTACGGTGGTCGACGGTGGCCGAAATGAAAATGATATGGTGGTCGGCGAAGAGAAAATATAGAAGAGAAGAAAAATGGGTAAATTACACCATGAGTCATTAAACTTTATCTCATATTTCACTCACCAAAACGATGTCGTTTTAGAGTATATTTGAGTTTTTCAAAATGGTGTGTTTTGATTCCTGTGCCATATCATAACGTCGATAAAAAGTTAACGGCAGAGTGAGAAAAATGATTCAATTTGTAAAGTTTAGTCAGCAAACTAAAAAAATTGAAAGTTCGGTAAGCAAAATAGGAGATAGAGTAAAGTAGAGTGAGGAAAAGTGTAATTTTCCCTTAAAAAATCGTGGTTGAAATTTTGATTTTTAACTTTAACCTAAAAGCACAAATTTTTAGTTTTTATTGTTGAAAAACACTTTTAGGTGAAATTATATTTTTATCCTCAAATGCTATATATTTTTGAGTTAATTGCGTTATTTGTTCTCAAAGTATGGTCATCATTCTAAATTGGTCCTTAAATTTTTAAATATTCTAATTTCATCCCTAAATTATGCCTATCATTCTAAATTAATCCTCAAACTTTGAGCATTTCAATTTTATCCCCAAACTATGGCCTTCATTCTAAATTGGTCTAACTTTTTTAACATTCCAATTTCATCTACAAACTATGACCTTCATTCTAAATGGGTCCTCAAACTTTTTTTAACATTTCAATTTCAATCCAAACTATATGTATTTTCTAATCACATCCCTTGTTAATAAAATCTTTAGGCCAAGTTATATCGTTATATGTTCGAAAGAAAAATAAAATTAGGTTAAACTATGATTGAAACTAATTACATATTTGGATGAATTTCGGGATGAATTTGGAAAATTCAAAGTTTGGGGATCAATTTAGAATGAGAGTCATAGTTTCGGGTTGGAAATGAAATGGTCAAAAGTTTATGGACCATTTTAGAATGAGAGTCATAGTTTAGGGATGAAATTAGAATATTCAAATGTTTAAGGATCAATTTAAAATGAGAGTATAGTTCGAGGACATATGATACAATTAACTCTTTTCAATTTATAACATAATATTTAAAATTGACATTTTATCTTTTAAAAATCACTTTTAAACAATAATTTTAGATAATTAAATTTTAATCCGTACTTTTTAAAAAAACTTTTAAAAATATTATTTTATAGCACTTTCAATAATAAATTAAAACTTTATAAGCTCCAAGCCTCTGCTTTGAGCCTCAACAAATCTGATTGTATAAAAAACAAACATAAACATATTTATATCATTCTCAATGTAGAAAGGGAGAACAAATACTCCGAATTTCCGAGGACAAGTAAATTCGTAAACCCAACAAAGAAGAAAGTATATAACAAATGAGAGCACCATTAGCACCCATGATTTATAACATAACGTTTTCACTAACAAAGGTATATGGTATCATGATACGATCAAACCAAAAAATCAGATTTCCGACCGTTCGATGTCCCCTCTTGCGACGACTTGTTGAAGAACTTGACACAATCGACAATGGCCTCGGTGTAATGCGAGCGATATGAGTAATACGAGCTGCACGAAGTCTTGGGTGGCTCAAACCTGTCGCAGCTCCTTTGCTTGGGAGCCACACTACTCGACGTGCCAGAAGATTTACACGGAAGAGAAAACAAGATTCGCATAATAAGTTTTCGGAATCGGGTAAATAGGTTCACTGCGGAGAAGTTTAGGTTGGAAGAGAGAGCGGTGGCTTGAGGCTCAAGGGTTTCGATATTGTCTCTTACTTGAATAATGAAGCTCTCACTTTGTGGAATGTGCATATTGTAAGGCTTGAATTAATTTTGATTTCAGTGTATTATTTCTATGTCTAGTTTTGGTAGCCAGATGCCCTCCGGAAAATGTAATTGCTATCATGATATAAAAAGATGGAGGTCTCTAAAGTACGTGTGTTTTATTCTTTCTTTTTCCCCTTTTTTTTACTGCTCTCCTCGTTTTTAAGGGGTTTTATCTTGACATGTGTCACACGTTTGACTTTAATAGGTGGATCTCCTAACATAAATTGTATGCATAACTCAAACTCAAAACTGATATCATGTGTTCAAATCATTCGTTTTGGGCTTCACTTGTCTTTGATTTACAGTTTATGTATTTCGTTTGCTTATCAGTAGTTCAAAAGGACCAAAACTATCTATCGAATTACATATTCATTCCAATTCTCCTTAAAATGTTATTGAGTATTCTTTTAATGTATGAAATAAATAATAATTATTATTTTTAATGTTATTATTATTATTATTCGCAACAGCAACTCGGCTACTTCTGAACAAGTAAATCCTAGGAATGGCAACGGGTCGGGTTCGGGGCGGGTTTTGCTCGCCCCGTCCCCAAACCCGAAATAAATCTTCATCTCCGACCCGACCCGATCCCCGACAGATTTTGTATCGGGGCGTCCCGTCGGGGATTTTTTTTTGCCCGTCCCCGAACCCGACCCGAAATATTATACTTAAATTCGAACCCGAAAATATTTTATATATAATTAATATAAAAAATATAAAATATTATATATATAATTAATATAAAAAATATAAAATATTATATATATATATATAATCGGGGCGGGGATACCTTGCCCCGAACCCGAACTAGACCCGAAAAAATCTCCGAAAAAAATCTCCAAACCCGACCCGATATCATTTAACCCGACCCGAACTTGACCGGATTTCAAATTTTCCCATCGGTTTCGGGTCATACTGCCATCCCTAATAAATCCATGTATAATGCACTTGGAAAGTTGAAAAGGTCAAGGATTATTTAGAAGTGCTAGCGAATGATGAGTGACCCTTGCCCATTAAAAGCTTTAACTCTTAAAAAGGATATTTAAAGTATTTGTAAGATTGAAAATTCTACGACGTTCGATGAGTACTGATAACAACCACTAACGATGAGCATCATTAATTTAATTTATAAAAATTTAAAATTTTAAAGGACTCAACGTATAATTATAAATTAATTGAAAATTTAAAGGTAAACTATACAATGACCACCTAACTATTGCCTCTTTTTATTTTGACCATCATTTTTGAAATTTTGTCAATCAAGTCACTCAACTATTTAAATACGTTCAATTAAGCCACTTGCCGTTAATATTTAACTGAAAAGCTGATGTGACAGTTAAAATATTTGATATTCTTACACATTTGGTCCGTGTTACTTATATATTCTATCAATTTGGTCCTAATTTTAATAAACTAAAATAAACTTAACCCTCAAATCAAATGGTGCCAAAGTAGTCTTTATTTATCATATTCTTTCAATTTGTAAAAAACAAACAAGAAATAAAAGAAAACAAAACTTACAAAAAAATTGATTTCCTTTTTGAGAAATTAAAAAAAAATCAAGTGTTTTGATTTCAAAAATAAATCTATATTAAGTAAAATCAAATTTTTGAACTCTTAAAAAATTAATCCAAAAACAATTTTTTATTAATCTGTAAGTACAAGACAATATATGTTCAAAGATAAACTCTCAACCTTTCAACATTGATCGCTCACACCCCGACATCTATGGTGCTCGAACCTGGGTCCTCAAGAATAACAACAATTCATTTAACACGGAGGTCACTTGGTTTGTGGTAATCCAAAACAATTAGATTTTACTTATAATGTGACGAATTAGGTAAAAGTAAAGTTATAATACTTGGATAGATGAGTAACGAAAAATAAATATTTTTAAACAAACGATCTAAAAATAATTACAAAATAAAATGGAACGTCTAATTTAAACTCCTAAAATCATTGAAAGATATAATTTAAACACATAAATTTGTCACACTGATTGTTTTGCGTGTATCAATGTAAAATATAATATTTTAAACTAAAAAATGAAGAACATAGAGAAATGCTCGCACGTCTCATCACAAAACATTGCCATGTTTATTTTACTTTATTGTTAGAAATAATAAAAGATGATAAAGAGATAGGAAAAATTGTACTGGTTGGCATTAAATTAGATTCCTCTCCAATAACAGTCCCAATAACAGTCCAAGATTTCTTTAAGAATAAAGGAGTATAACCATCTGGGCATGGAGTTTTGTCATTACCTTGGGTAAAGGTAGCTTCTTTTATCTCCTCAGCAGTAATTTCTTTCTCTAAATCTATTAAAGTTTCTCTAGGCAAGTTTAGATTAAACATATTTTTCAGAGTATTTGGGTCAATGTCTTTAACATTTTTGTCAGCAGTACCCAATTGTTTTTTTTTAAGAACACAATTATTTCAAAAGCCATATCATCAAAGTTTTCTAGTATGCTACGTTGATCATTTGTAAGAACTCTAATGGTTTCCCTTTTGTTTTTTGAAGCAATGATAGAGTGGACATTTTTTGAACATTTATCCCCCTCTTTGAGCCACTGGACTTTGGATTTTTGCTTAAGAAACATGTTTTCTACTGCTTCAAGAGTTGAAAGCTCAGTCTGAATTTTCAGTTCAGTGTCAATGGAACTATTCCCCTTAAGAGTTAAAAGTTGAAAATGTTCTAGCTCATCTTTCTTTTGTTTCACCCTATCAGAAATGTTGTTAAAATACTGCTTATTGATATTCCTCAAACAAGTCTTAAGGCGTTTAAGCTTAAGGAAAAGAGCTTTCATAGAGTTACCTTGCACAGGCTGCTGCCAAGACTGATGAACTTCATATAGGAAATTCGGATGAGTATTCCAGAAGTTAAAAAACTTGAAAGGCTTTGGGCGGTTAATAGGAGATTCTTTGTTAATCCAAGTAAGGACCATGCAATGATCTGAAGGACCAGGAGCCATAAATTCAACAAAAGAATTTTGAAAAGAGTTTATCCAAGCAGAATTTATGAGAACTCTGTCAAGTTTTCTAGCAAGAAAAGTGTCTTTTTGTTTGTTGCTCCAAGTGTAAGTTGGCCCAAAAAATGGATGATCATGGAGAAGAAGGTCATTGAGAGTTTCTTGAAAATCTTTCATATCAGTAGAAGAATAAGTGCCCAGAAATTCATGATCAGAACTTTCAAAAGATTGAAGGAATATGTCGAAGTCTCCACCAAGAATCCAAGGGAAAGATCCATAGTTAGAATCAAGGTCCCTAAGATGCTGCCAGAGAAGTCTTCTTTGGGTTCCATCATTAAATCCATAGATAGCAGAGATGACAAAAGGAGTACCATTGTAGTATCCTTTAACAGAAATACATTGGACAGTAGCTTGGCAAAAAGTGAAATCAAATTCTTTTCTCTAAAGGATCCAAATTCTTCCATTGGAATCAAAATCATAATTAGAGAAGATATTCCAATTCTTGAACTTATTTTTAAATAAGTCTTAGAATTTTCAGCTTTAACTCTAGTCTCCATTAAACAAAGAACATCTACCTTATAAAGATTAACCCTATGCAGAGCTTTAATTTGCTTTTGAGGATTATGTAATGAACAGCTTTACGTTGTTCCAAAATCTGACAACTCAAACTTCCATTCATCATGACTCATGTACTACGCCAGTACCCTAGCCCCTGGTGGTTATTCTATTTTAATTTTGTGGTATTAGGTTAACCCATCTCGCATATCTGTTCAACCAATCGCTAATTAAATTCATTCATCTATTTTCTTAATATTATATTGGAAAGTTAGTTGAATATAGTTCCGAATCATGGGTTGGGTTATCCGTTTGAGTTCTATATCATTTACAGAAGCAATTCCAGAACTATCATATAGACCGTTCGGTAGAGCCAACGTGGTGGTTTTTCCATTTGTCCCAAGCCAGAGTTCTGCTTACAATCCAATCATGAAAATATTTTAATTTCGACAAATTATAATTTATGTTATTGAAAAACCAATGGACTTCGATATTAGCAATATGTGAGTATTGAAAATAGATTTGATTTTGACTTCCCACGCTTCCCTTTGGCACTTATTCTAATATAATCTCACGTGGGTGGGTCTTAATAATTCTGCTTCTACCCCGCCTTTCAACATCCTATTTTCAAGTACAAAAAAACATTTGGATCTGGGGTCAGTAGACTACAAGTCTAGAACGTCAACTTAATTCGATTCACTCTATTGTCTTTGATTACTTTTAAGTTTTATTTGATTACTTAATTAATTTTAGTGGGGTTGTTCAGTCGGAATACCTTTAATTTACAATATAAGATGTGTCAATTTTATTTATCAATTTATTTTGTGTAAATTTTATTAATCAATCTATTTTTTTTAATTTTATTTAATCGGCGACTACATCAATTTTAATGTCAATTGGCATCAGTCAATTATCTTTTTTTTTGTTTTTTAATTTTTTAATAAAAATAATTATGTCTTTTGACATGTTCTCTGTCTTTATGACACATTTATATATGCCTTTGTGATATATTTTTCTCTGCCTTTTGATAGTTTATTGTTTTTTTCCGTTGTTTACAGTTTTTTCTATTGTTTTTGTTTATCTTTTTTCTCAGGGTTGGATTTGATATCATCACGACTGATCAAGATGACACTTATTTTTTATCATAATGATATTCCCTGCTTTGAACCCTCGAATTGATTTGGATACACGTTTTGCGTTCATGGATAGTTTTCTCACGTCGTTTGACTCTGATTTACGATTTTTCGATGGTCTTTCAATAGCTTCATCTTTTCTGGTTCGTTTACTGATACAGTAAGATTTATTCGTATCTTTATTTTATTCGAGTTTTTTTGTTAGGTTTTTTTAACGTTTTTCATTCTTTGGCCATTATGTGATCTAGGTGACTATTTTTTGTCTCACTAATAATAGAAAAATGTCATAATTATATTTCAAGTTTACGATTATACTTATAAATATTCATTGTAATTTTTGATATTTTTTATTTTTAATAAAACTAAAGTCTTTCTGTACAAAAATAAATGGTTACTTAATCAAACAAAATAAGTAACTTTATGTATATTTTCAATGTTTGTTCAAATTTAAGAATTTAATAATATTCAACTCAACTTTAAATACTCTAAATTAATTAATAATGATTTAATAATCAATATCTGATATATTATCAGTGAACAATTCACCTTTTATTTTTATAAATATTGTTTAAATATTATCCCCTATTTTATATATTTACCTCAACTTATAGTTTATGGAACAATTTTTTTGATTTATTTCTTTTGATTTCTCATTTATATTTCCATCCATTCAATTATTTTGTTAGTATTTATTAGATTAATTCATTTGCAAAACTTTAGAATCAATTTATCAATCAGATGCGTTTTCATTGTAATTGTACTTATATCTATTTTAGAAAATAAAGGGATAAATATTAAAATTACTATTAATTTAGTTTAAATGTACAATGTGATATATTAATTTTAAATTTGTGTAGTTATAGACATGAAATTTAATTTTAAAATTATTTTTTATATTATATAAATATAATTATTTGTAAATGCAATACATAAACATAAAATGATACTATTATGTTGACAATTATATCAATGAATTGGGAAAATTGAATCAAATTAAAGCTTTTTGTATGCAATCACATAAAATCAAATTTGATAAATCACCTTCTATATTTTATTAAATTTTATGTATAATTTTAATATTTATTTAAAAAATAAAAATAGGTAATAACCAACAAGATATTGATAAAATTGCAAAGGTGAGGACCGGAGTTTTTCTCTGAAATACCAAATAAAATTGTGAAAAAAAATTCCGTCAGTTATTTATAGGTTGTGTTTGATTTAAATTTCAGAGTGTAACATTTGAGATTAATTAGATGTCATTTTGATTTCTAAAATTCAAGCCAGTTTTTGGAATTTAAACCTATGTAACATTGGATGTATTTGAATTGTTTTACATCTATATTCAAAGGGAATTAACAACTGATTATTATGCCAGTTACATGAGTCACAGTAATAATATCAAGAGTTACAAATGGCTAGAAATCAAACTATGAATCTGGGTTGTTTTGAGGCCAGGTTTATTTGTTTAATTCACCTATTACAATAGATTTTAAATCCAACAATTAAATTAGAAATAAATATGATACACGTTGAACCATTTTGCCCCTGACGTGAAGCCTATAAATCGAGAGGTTATTCTCAACCAATTCATTCTCAAATAATTCTCTCAAAAGCTCTCACAGCTACTAAGAGATTTCTAGCGATCTAAGGAGCAATACCACCAACAGTCCACTCCGATTTCAAGTGTACAAAATTTGTAGCGACCGTGTCAACCTCGAGGGACGATCCACCTATTGGAGCAATTACACATATCGGTGCGAATTCGTTTCTAAGACAGTGGTTCACCATGACACAATTAATGGTTTCAAATTTTTCCTTTAAATTTATTATTCTCAGTCAGCGCTAATAGTGTGGTTTTTCAGTCCATATTTCCAACATTGAGCACTTACATAATACATTTGAGTCTCAATATCAAGTGTGGCTTTTCGATAAATATTTAGTTGTAATAGTATTTATTAGTTTTAGATATATGCGAGCTTTATAATTACTTTAATTTACTATAATTAAATTATTTTAGTGGCATCTTGATGCATCTCTTCAAAAAATCAACCTACCTACAGTATCAGTAAGAATTTTTTGGTATGATTTCGATTTTAGTGGCATGTATAATTTATCTATTTGGTAGCTCTGTTAGACTTAAATTTTTAAAGGGTCTGTAATAGTAAATTAGGGCTGCTTTATCACTATTTGCATAATTATATTCGAAGGTATGATTGAATAGTCTTAGATTTTAAAATATTTTAAATGTAAACCAAATGATTTTAAAGTTGACAACATTCAGACAGTTTCATAAGTGGTGCAAAACAACATTGAACTGCTTAGTTACTGTCTAAAATCGGTTTTGATTTGAATATTATATTATCATCTTACATAGGAATGACAACGGGGCGGGTTCGGGGCGGGTTTTGCTCCCCTGTCCCCGTTCCCGCCCTGTTTCCCGTCGGGATTTTTTTTTGCCCCGTCTCGACCCGAAATATTGTACCCGAACCCGACCCGATCCCGAGAAAAATCGAGTAGCCGTTGTTTTCATAAAAAAATAGAAAAAAACGATCACAAAAAACTGGAAAATTAGTCTACATGATTTACAATTCAAACTACAGTCACAAATTCAAACTCAATTCTAAATAATTGTCTAAACTCCAAAATAAAACACATACATAATTAAATACAAACTTGTTCCGATATTCAAATCATACAACGAAGATGCATACGTAATATTAAGTCAAATAAAGTCATCCAAAATCGTCGTGCCACTTTTGTCACTTTCTTTGGTAGCTCCCTACATTGAGAAATTTATCAATAAATCGACCAAATTTTATTTTAATAATTATAAAAGCTAGTGTTTAGGGTTTAAATGTTTAGGGTTTATATTATATAATTAATATAAAAAATAAAAAATATTATATATATAATTAATATAAAATATGTAAAATATATATATATATAATCGGGGCGGGACGGGATGGGGTGGGGATACCTTGCCCCGAACCCGAACCCAAAAAAAAATCCCCGAATTTTACCCCGATGCCCGACCCGAACTTAGCCGGGTTTCGGGTTTCCCCGTCGGGTTCGGGTCTTTCTGCCATTCCTAATCTTACAATTTTACCCGACTAATAAAATGGGTATAGTTTGTTAAACTGAGATTTTAAATTGATTCAAAATATTAAGGTCTTTATGTTCAATGAAAGTAAGAATGTTTAATGTGACATATATAACTCGTTATTTGAGACATATACGGGTTATGGGCATCACAATATCCGTAAACCTAAAATATAATTATGGCATTTTCCTATTACCATGGAGACAAAAACTCGCCACCTAGATCACACAAGTACCAAAGAATAAAAATGTTAAAAAATCTAACCAAAATGCTCGAACAAATACGAACAAATCTGTCTACATCGGTAAACGAACCATAAAAGGGGATAAAGTTACTGAAAGACTACCGATAAATCGCAAGTCAGAGTCGAGAGACGTGAGAAAACTAGTCAGGAACAAAAAATGCATATTCAAATCAATCCGAAGGTCAAAAGCAGAGAAGATCAACATGATAACTAATAAGCACCATCTTGATTAGTAGTTGCAGTGTCAAAAAATGCATATTTCTTTTGATTTCTCAATTATATTTCCATCCATTCAATTATTTTGTTAGTATTTATTAGATTAATTCATTTGCAAAACTTTATAATCAATTTATCAATCAGATGCGTTTTCATTGTAATTGTACTTTGTTGAAAACATTTTGTTGTTTTGATATAACAAATTAAATTAAAAGAATTTGAATTTTGAAAATGATTTTTCTAAGCATATTCGATATATTAAATTGAATATCAAAATATTACTCAAAGTATTTCAAAGTTCATTTTAAATCATTACTCAAGTGTAAAATTAAGTTTTAATCTTAAAATAATTTCAAAACGATTTTACAAAATATTTTGAACCATTTTAAAGCCAAAAATTCCAGATTGCTCAGAGGGAACCGATTTCCCCCCAAGGGGGTACCGATTCCCCCTGAATGGTTTGGCTCCGAGAATTTCAGTATACTTGGAGGGAACCGATTCCCCCCAGG